GATCTGTGGAGGATTAATTAAGATTGATTTGGCGGTGGATTTCTCTAATATGTGAAATGATCACTGTGGACGACTTTGGCACATGATACACTGTCAAGATCTAATCAGGTTTACGTGATAGATGTATTCTATCTAGACCTTATTAAAATAAAACAAACCATTTTTTTGTCAATATCGTCGTCGACGTAAGAACTGTTTTCTTAGCATGAGCTTCGGACCTCTCAAACCTGTCTTATCTGCGCCAGTAAGCAAAACCACAAACTCTAGAAACCAGGACATTTTCGGTCCATTCTCGCCCTGTAAATGTAACTCAAAGTTCGAATACAAGGCATTTACGCCGAGGCATCGACCAATCCCGCAATGAAAAAGCAAAAGAATCATTAGTTACGCCTTATTTCGCCCAATCTCAATCTCAAAGCAAAAGGTTCCCATTAGGTTTTGTGGTATCACCCACTTAACTAACCGGTAGGAGCTCCATTTTGCCCTTGCCATCAGCAATCCACTCAGGTTCAATGAGTTTCTCTCGATCCGCATACAAGTATTTGTATGCCGTACGGATAGTTCCATCACTAACGCCAGCTACTTGGGATATCTCCTTTGCAGACTTTGGCTTTCCGAGGAGAGCTGATGCCATGTAGATGCAAGCGGCTGCAACTGACAAAGGCGATCTACCAGCGAGATCACCGACGGTAGAAACCTTTTCAGCAAGGCCTTGGGATATCTTGACGAACTGTTGACTCTTAAGACCAAGTTGACTGCAGTAACGAGTACAGAGATCTTTGGCATTGGTTGACGTGGTTGTCTGATAACCATCTGGGGCCGCAAGAGCTTGAAGGCAATGTTAATATATACCAGTATAAGATCTTCAGCTTATACAACTTACCACCAGTAGCATCAGCAGTCGCCTTCTTGGCCGAACTGTCCGAAGCAAAGAATTTCTCAAGTGCTTTGAAAGTTCTACCAATATCCTTCTTCGAAACCTTCGTCAAAGCGTAGATTTCACGGAAGGTTCTGGGAACACCGCACTGACGGCAAGCGATAAAGATACAGCCAGCAATGATCGCTTCTTGGGATTTACCTTTGAAGGCTTTGGCGTCATCGACAAGTTTGAAAAGGTGCTTTGCGGTATCCGAAACGTTTTTTGGAATGTTGACAGCATCACAGTGAGCGCCGATTTCTTTGTAGGCTGCGAGTAAAGCCTTTGTTGATTTGTCTGTACCTTGTTTACCTTGGGCGCGGTAGAGCTCACGACTGCGTACGCTGCTGTCGCCAAAAGCGATTGTGGTGGAAAGTTGAGAACCGTTCAAGAGAGGATTAGCAGCGTCACCAACACGGGATGGATCGTCATTTCCCTGGTCATCATTGGAGAATGTACGCCATTCAGAGCGGGTATCGACAATTCGATCACCAATAACTACACCACATGTATCGCAAACCAAATCTCCTGAAGAAAATTCTTCCACGAGATTAGGTGGAATCTCCTTGCAGTCCTTGCACATAACCGTGACGTTCAAATTCTGACTCCATTCTAAATTCTTGTCTAATGGCGGTTGAGCCATCATCTTTGGTTTGTAAGGTTTTGGTCGATAAATATTATCAAGCTTGTCGAAGACTGGACGTCTCTTTGGCTTGCGGCGAACTTGTGTTCTTTTCTTCGTTACAGCTAGACGGGTTCTGATATCTCCAGTAGGTTTATCGCAAAGGATTGTAGTTGAAAGCTTGATAAAAAGCGGAGAATGCAGTTTGGCGGTATTGTGGGGAAATTAGGTTGAGTTAATAAATCAAGATGAGTACGACAACAGGAATTAGTCCCTTGATCTATGATTCAGACTCAGTTCTATGGTCGATGAAGATTCACCTACGGTCGACGAAGATTCGAGAACGAGTGAGTATGTGTTATACTGATGGTCGATTCGTATAATAGATAGAAAGTGATTTGGTGAATATGAGTGTGGCCGTAGTTGAAAGATTGATTTGTAAAAAAGAAACGACAGAAATGTAATTCGTTTTACAAGGTCAAGGAAGACTTTGTAAAGAGTTCGACTATCTGAATATGCGACCGTCGTCGACTTGAGCTTCGAGTCGAATAAATTAAAGTGTCGCAAGGTAGAAGAATGTAGGGTGGGAGAGTGCGCTTGCTGCTTTCGTCGACGGATTTGAAGATTTTCGCAGAACAAATGACCAATAAAGGCGTCCGTGAATGATGTATCAAAATCGTTGTTGAGAAGTTGTCAAAATTATCGTCGTAAAGATGACCGGCAACTTTGTGATTGTTCAAGAACGATAATGTCACAGTCTTCTGTTGATGTGCGAGCGAGCGGTGGTGGTTGTCGGAAAGGTTGTCGGTGAGGATGAAGTAGGCAGAGAAGATTTCGTACAAAGACGAGGAATGCCAGCTGCATTCGAACTAGAAAATCTAAATTTGTAATCCAATCACGTGAAAACAACTCACTCTCTTTTTGGTCACAGCCTTGAGCCGCGCCTTCTTTTGGTTGCCTTACAGTACTGTATTAAGTTGCTCGCTAATACGTCGCGCCGAAGCTCCAGGTCAGTTTGGAAGCTCTTAGATATTGAAACAACATTTGAAAGTCAATACATTTACCATTATTCCATCCCATCGCAGTTACTCTAAAACCTAACTTCACCCGCCCTTTTCGAATCTTTCAAACACAACTTCAACTGCAAAATGTCTACATTAGAAGATCTCGATGATCTCGAGAGAGAGCAAAAGGAAGAGAAGAAGGACGATGGCGACAAGGACAAGAAGCCAACCCAAACTAATGACGCCGATGCTGAAATGAAGGATGCTGAATCTGAAAAGGAAGAGGACCCTATAGATGAGGAGATCTATAGCTTAGGCACACAAGATATTCTCACAAGGAAACGACTTTTAGAGAATGACTCTCGAATCATGAAGAGCGAATTTCAACGTTTATCACATGAGAAGGCTGCAATGGGCGAGAAGATCAAGGACAACCTTGAGAAGATTGAAAATAACAGGTAGGTACAGCTATGATAATCGGCAGATTGTTATCACAGTTTAGCCAGTCCACTGACATTGTGCAGACAACTACCATACCTTGTTGGAAACGTTGTCGAGTTACTCGATCTCGACCCAACAGCTGAATCTGCTGAAGAAGGCGCAAATATCGATCTCGATGCTACCAGAGTTGGAAAGTCTGCAGTTATTAAAACCTCTACTCGACAAACCATATTCCTTCCATTAATTGGTCTGGTGGACCCAGATGAGTTGAAGCCAGGTGATTTGATTGGTGTCAATAAGGATTCATATCTCGTACTGGATACATTACCTGCGGAATATGATAGCAGAGTCAAGGCAATGGAAGTTGACGAGAAACCTACGGAAAAATACACAGATGTAGGAGGGTTGGACAAACAGATTGAGGAATTGGTCGAAGCAATTGTATGGCCAATGAAGGAGGCTGATCGTTTCAAGAAGATTGGTATCAAGGCGCCCAAAGGTTTGTTCCATATATTGTCTGTGTATAACCAGATATGCTGACGTTCTCAGGTGCTCTTATGTATGGTCCTCCTGGTACTGGAAAGACACTCCTCGCAAGAGCTTGCGCCGCGCAAACAGATGCAACCTTCCTCAAACTCGCCGGTCCTCAACTCGTACAAATGTTCATTGGTGATGGTGCAAAGTTAGTACGAGATTGTTTTGCATTAGCTAAGGAAAAGGCACCAGCAATCATTTTCATCGACGAACTGGATGCTGTTGGTACAAAACGTTTCGATAGTGAGAAGAGCGGAGATCGTGAAGTGCAAAGAACTATGTTGGAGCTACTGAATCAACTTGATGGATTCGCCTCGGATGATCGTATTAAGGTATTGGCAGCAACCAACAGAGTTGATGTTCTCGATCCTGCTTTACTCCGTTCTGGTCGTCTCGATAGAAAGATTGAGTTCCCTCTACCAAACGAGGAAGCTCGTGCCCAAATCTTGAAGATTCACAGCCGTAAGATGACTGTTGATGATGCCGTCAACTGGCCCGAATTGGCACGAAGTACAGATGAGTTTGGCGGAGCCCAGTTGAAGGCGGTATGTGTGGAAGCTGGTATGATTGCACTTAGAATGGGAAAGAACAAGATTAGCCACGAACATTATGTCGATGCCATTGCGGAGGTCCAAGCTAAGAAGAAGGGTATGTTTTCAATGACTCTATTTCACTTTTTCTACAATACTAACTCATTACAGACACTGTCAATTTCTACGCATAGTGTGACTCTTTGGCGGCGTTTGGCATAGCTTGCACGGCAAGACTTGTAATCATAGACAAATCAGGACATTTTAAATATGATCAAACGGGTTTCCAGGAGACGTCGAGTATGCCTCGTGATTGATGAGAGCCGATGGTAATATATTAATGAAGAAGGCCAACCATGTATTCTCCAGCATATGACGAAATGAATGATTCTTGCCCATCTTTGATCTATGTGAAAATGTGACTTCCAACATATCTTCCTATCTAAAACGGACTTCCTACATTGGAGCAGATTCGAAGTAGATCTTTGCGTTAACAGGGAATCGGATATGCACAAGTGTGAGGGAGAAAGGTCCAAACCACATCGGAACACTGCATGTGCTGTATTAAAAAGTTCGCGGATGTTGACGATTAATTCCTTTTTATCTAGTACGTAGAGAAACACCAACTTCATTCTAGAATCAGGTTTCATGCATATCAAATGTTACCTTCATCCCTAGACTTTAGTTCAGTGATAGCGGCATCAAAAATCAACTTTACGTTGCAAGTTGACATTCTAAGAGTCAATCTACCCACTTCTCCTCTTATTGGCAAACTCCATTTCATCCAGGACTCTCCCCTCACGCATTATCTCCAATACCTCTTCGAATCGGTCTTCCTCCGCTTCTTCTAATCCTCCTGCCCGATTAAACATATCTTTATTCCAGGATTCACTGGCCACCTCTAAATATTCTTCAGTCCAGGAACCCCATGCCCTATTCTTTTCAACAATATTCTAAAAAGGACTTTGCGATGCTTCGATTCGATTCTTCGTCGCAGTTTCTATCTCATTTCTCCAAAACGACAGTTTCTCTGGACGAAGTTTCGTGCAAAGAACTCTGTATATTCCAGGAAGCATATTTACTTCTCCAGCGTAATATTGCATGGTATCTTGTCTCATAGGACGTTGCTCGCATGGCTGGCTTTCAATTGTTAGTAGAGCTACTCGCTTGGCTTCCCATTCCTTTTTTAGGGTAGAGGAAATAAGACTATGCAGCTCAACGCATTTGGCTAGATCTCCCAAGTTGTCTTTACCCACGTCGCGCACAGCTAGTTCCATAAGTTGAAGATCCTTGGCTCCGGCCAACGAAATGTGACATTCAGTGTACAGAAAATGCGAAATATCGCGGACATCGAAGACGACTTTAGGTATATGCGGAGATTCAAAGAGAGTTCTGAGGGAAATGTATTCAGCTATGTCGACTTCGAAAGCTTGACCTGGAGAGGGCGCATGCGTGAATTGCATTATGGTTAGTGATCGCTGTGAGGAGTGAGTATTGACGAGGGTTTTGGCTGAGAGAGCTGAGAGATCGAGGAGGTAGGTTGGGTTGTTTTGAGCGGCTCCGTAGAGATGGGGTGGTGATGTTTCGGGGGCTTATAGAGAGATACAGAGTGGATGTGCAGGTTGGGATTGTGAGCGCGGAGGTGAGGTCATCGAGGAAGGAGATTAGGGAGGGCATTGTATCAACAATTTTGATTGAAGATGGAAGTGAGGTTGACGCAGACATCTTGATTAAGATTCGAGATTCATAACCCTAATCAGAGAGTTATTCTTCGATGAATTAAAGATGCTCTCCGGGTAAATTTTGAGGCAGGTGATTTAACGATTATTTTGTTACACATGAAGCGGGGAAATGCTTGTCATAGGCTGAATAGTCTCACACATATACGTCGTCATTCTTTATTGCAATGGTACTATATGTTCGCAAAGGGAAGAAAACAAAGCGTCTCATGATAAGGTAAATGGTGTGTTGAGAGTCGAAGAGAATGGTATGCAGTTGGGGGCACTTGCACCTGGGTCCAAAAGAGGATGTAGGAAACTCGTAACTGATTTTCACAGTGGATCGTTAGACCCTAATTTTGTCTAAATTAAGAGTCTGAAGAATGAATGGAGATGCTCATGAGATTTTACTTCCTATCGGGTTGGATGTATAAAAGTGTTGCACAGGATAGTCCCATAGCTTGGTAGCAGGTCGCTGGGAGCTGAGCATAGCGACCTTGATATGGTCCATAGACCTTAGAAATATCATATAGTGGTTTCTTGTATCCACATCAACGCTGTTCGCGGTCTCTCATCCTTCATGTTTTTAGTCAAATGAACTTTATGTTTCTCAGTCGTAGATACCACTCCAATGTTGGAATACATATGGTCATATCTTTAAGTACATATTATTTAAGCAAAAAATTGTCATTAGCTAGAAGAGAATGAAGAGAAGAGAAGCTGTATGATTCTTTGGAAAGCTGTATATCGCGAGATTGTTTATTTTCGACTCAGTGGAGTTAGCCATGTCGATTGAAACCCTGAATGCCAATCTGGCTTCCGTTTCTCCTTCTGCTTTCGCCTATTCTTCATCTGAATCTCTATAGGGTGGAAAATCTGGCAGTCCCTCCATGACATCTCCCCCGTCAATCTTGTCCTCGACGTAATATTGAAATACATGCCGTATCTCAACTCGCAATGGTATGATATAATCATCATAATCTTGCGAGTTATCACTTTCTCGCCAAGTGGCTGCCATAATACCCAAAGCCTTTCCCGAAAATCGACGCTTTCGATCGTCAAACCAAGGGTTTTTGATTGAAATCTGAATTGTCCAACGCTGTAAAAGTTTGATTACATTATTGTCTTCTTCGACCACAGTTCCGTCGTTACCACATGCAATATCCAACGCAGCAACCGTTTCGTCAACGATAGATGCTCGTATGTCTCCACTATGGTCTCCACTATGGGTTACACGTGCATACATGAGGTGTATAGCAATATTCTGAATGTGAGGAATCAAAAGATAGTGAGCTAGAAACCAAATGCGGGCAAGGACAGGGAGATCCAGGTGCCGTTCCCTTGGTGTATTTTTTGAATATTTGTGGTCTACGATGACCTCATCAGACTCTGGGATGATAATTGTTCCAGTGTTCATGTATTGAACGATATGACGAAATATCTTGGGACAAGTATCTGGAAGCTCGATGACTTGATTATCTTCTCTTAGAAAGTTCAAGGATGTACGGACTAGGGAGATGTTAGTCCGAAACTGTGATCTTGTGAAAACGGGAGAACTTACAGTAAGGTGAGTAGTAGGCAAGACGGATTTTGGAGACATAAAAGGTGTCGATATTTGGCGGAGTTCCGACGTTAATACGTATGAATTCATCTTTACTATAGTGCGCGGTGGTTAGAAAACTTCTTCCAATCGTAGCTGCATATCTACATGCTGTATTAAAGCAACCGTCTTGTTGCTGCATAAAAAAACCAATCACTTACGAGTAATCAAGAATAGGTTTCTTGGGCCAGTGTTTCCTAGAAGGTGTCGTCATGGTTGCAAGATGATCTGTGTGTAAATATCTCTTTGCTTTATGCAGTTTGACAGTTGTGTTGGCTGGATGATTCCGTCTTTGATTAAGGTCTGAGGAGAAAAACTGCACGGTTCTGGTCTCTTGATATTCACTTCTAACCTATCAATACTCATTTCATAGAGTGGATCTAGCCTTTCCCGAATGGATAGCCTATTCTTTTTCAAGTTCATAGGAAATGAATGGTATGAAGTAGCTATAAGATGCTAGAAATACCTACCTAGAATCAATGCCAATTTGACTTTTGGCCGGCGGTAACTTTGATGCATTGTCATTCTCTAATTTTCATTGCAGTAATAGGAAACGTTGCTAAGCAGCTTATTCCCAATGCGGCCCCGAAATATCATCGAAATCAAAGTCCACGCTCAAATCGTGAAAGGAACATCCTTTGTCGACATTATCATGCACAAAAAATTCACCCACTATTCTCACGGTAGCTTCTCGAATATCCTCAGGTAGTTCATTTGTGAGTCGTCTTTGCTCCGCACTTCTCTCTCGAACCACAAACATTGCACCCTCAAGAACTGATCTTGGTACCAAATCTTTTTGCTCTCGTGTCCACCTATGGTAGGTAGAATGGCAAGCAAGGAATTCTTCGAGCAGAAGCAGAACCTGATTGATTCCTCCAGCCATTGTTGATTCGGCGGTGACTGCGATTTGAAGAGCATCGATAAACTCGTTGATAATGAGAGGGCTGCCGTCATAAAACCACTCATACCCACGACTATGAGTGGCGATGTGGCAAAGAAGTCGGTACATATGATCTATCGTAACATTTTGGCAATGCGGCATCATGAGAAAGTCTGCAAGATACCAAATATGCACTAGGGTTGAAAGACTCAGACCGGCTTTGTAGCGTTTTTCGATGGAGGACGGTGAGCACTCGTTGCAAGCAGAGAGTAATGTATTGTGGGCAACATGAGTTGGGATAATGATCGATCCAGTATTCACGTATTGTACTATATGACCGAAAATATCAGGCTTGTCCCTCCAAAACTTCGAGATCTCGCAGAAACCGAACCCACGCGAGCTAACATCTTCATCGGAAAGCTTACGAACTAGACAATAATTAGATGGAAGTGTCAATCATAAGAGAGACAGGAGAACACTCAGTGCATAGATACATACAGCGTGGGGAATGATAGGCCAGGCGCAGCCGTGAGACATGGTAAACTATGTTGTTTGGTGCTTCTGGAGGTCCATTTCCTAAGCAGATGGAGACACGATCGTCGTCTTTCCTGATTTGAGATCTTGAGGTTAGTGGAAGCTCTATCAATTGAAGTAAACGTTGAATCATACGTGTAATCAAGAATTGGTCTTTTGGGCCAGTCAGGCGGTGGAGGTGATGTCTGCTCACTCATCATATTTCCTGAAGCTAGTGGATGGAATTACAATTTTGAATCAGCTTCCATCAACTTCCCTCAAAGATTGTTGTGTTTGTTTGAAACTTCTCCTGTAATGATGTGATCAAAAGATTGTGTAAAGGCTAGCTTTGGCTGTGTGTTTCGAGCAGAAGGTGAACTCTTAATCGCTCGAAGGACGTAAACATACACGTGCTTCCATTCACTGTTTCTGACCTGATGGCGATTGGCTAAGATAACCTTGGAATTTCAACACAGAAAGAAATTCTAAAAGGGGGTTGAAGTTCAATGCTAGCTGGACATTCAACATATCTAAATCGATGGGAAAATATTTCCTCTCAAAACTATATCCTGAACGACTGTTTTCTCTCTCGATATTTCACAGCCATCGTCCTACCCAGCTATCTCATATCTTGCCTCAGCGACCTTGGCACTTATCTCATTTCTTTAGTATTTCTCCGGGTGCTGCTGGCATTATTGCACCTGCCTCTGGTACATTCTTGCTTTTGAAGTCATCAGACATCTGTTCAAATGTGACCCATTCGACCCCTTCATGCTTGTTGATATGATCAATGATTCTACGTTTTGTTAGTTGGTTGCCGAAATCTTAATACGTAATAAGCCGACAAGATTAAGATGGTCGGGAATGGCACAAGTCCTAGATATCATAAAGAGGAGCAATTTCATACCTTTGTTGCATCTTCAAAGCGTGTGGTCTCCCCGAGACGTCTGGATGGATGGTCATAGGAAACACAAACTCATCATAATTCTCGTAAAAATAGTCGAAGTGATCTAGCCACATCTGTTCCACTACTTTTGGATCCACCCATCCATGACTATTAGGTGACTTCTTGATGAACATCATGGGAGGTAGGTCATCGATGTACCATGAAGCTGGGATTTCAACCATACCAGATGGCACACCTTTGACAAGTGGTTTCATCCACTCCTCTGCCTTCTTACTATAATCAATCTTTGTCCAAGTATCTCCGAGTCTCAACCAATACATTTGACAATCATCATGGCTCATACTATGATCGTACTCTATTCCGTAGCTCAATAAAAGTTCTGCGCCTTCTTTACTTGTTTCCCACCAAGGAGCCACGCTTCCCCTTGGTGGTTTTCCGCAAAAATCTGTCAATAATTTATATGTTTTGTCAAGAACATCTCGTTGCTGTTCAAGTGTCATATCAACAGGGTTTTCGTGGGAGTAACCATGAAGACCAATCTCATGCCCCGCATCACGAACCATTGCGCATTCTTCAGGGAAGGTCTCGAGAGAATGACCAGGTATAAACCAGGTCGCCTTCATATTGTTCTTCTCAAAGAGTTTGAGAAGACGACGAACACCGAGTGTACCAGCGAACAGTCCTGATTGTGGTAAGTATAATGACAGTCCAAGAGTCAGGAGAAGAATGAATATGAGATTTTCAGTTGAAAATCAAAGCTTCCATAACCTTATAACATCAGAACACTCTATCCTGAGAATAGAGAGTCATATGTAAGGAGCTTGATGACGAGAAGAGGAATATATCATTGTGATTAACTTGAGTAACAAACCTCTACTAATGTCTGATGTCGAGTCTTCGCCACCATATGAACCTAACCATCCGGCTACAGCATCAATATCGACTCCATAGCCGCAGAGCACGCGTTTCTTGACTTTCTTATCCAGTTTCGTGTTTGAGGAGGGAGGAGAAGTAGAAGAAGACATGGTTGAGTTCGGGAAAGTATATAGTAGTATGAGTAGATGAAGATACACAACCTCTGAGAGCTGCACTGCCTGCTGCTTTGTACTTCGTTGTTAATTACGTAGCACCTTGACCACGATGGAAGTCACTTTAGCATTCTGAAGTGTGGGGAAAAGCTTCAATTGCCGCCCTCATTGGGACCATTTTGATAAGAGCTTCAACGTTTCGATTAATAAGAGGAATTGATTGCTAGGTACTTTATCCGAAAAGAGGAAGCAAATATCCGAAAGCGTATGTTAAAACCAAGTCACATGATCTGACATTGCGGCGAGACAACTCCATCGAGAAAGATACCCCTGTCAAATGCATGTGATTGCTTAGGTGCACTAAGTGGGCTTATGGACACCAGTAGGTACCGTATTCGAGCGTATTCTAATTTTGAACCAGAAGGTAGGATCGCATCAAGGTACGAGCCAAAGAAAGATAGGACCAGCTTGCGTTATTAACATTACCAAAGTTTCCTTGATCTGATCTCATAGTCAAGCATCAGTACCTAGGTATTTTAAGTCATTGTTCGTTCACATTGATTGCCCATCTTGAAGCTTTAGAACCATATCAGGCGCAACCCCAACAGCTTTACTCTACCTACGAAGCTTACGACGTTGACGAGAAAAAAGACATTCCTTTACTGGCGTTGCAGGGACTGACACCCTGCGGTGCAGTTATATCTTTGAGGCAAATGAAAGTCGAATGAATGCAGCCCTTGAATCCTTTCCTGAGTGCTTTCTTCAAGAGTGCTCTGCCTACACAGTGTACGCCGGTACACCATCATGTAAGCTTGCCAACAATACTAGATTCCCATCATCATCTGCAACGAGGGGCATTGGACACGAAGCTGATAGCTCTTTAGATATTATTAGTACCTACTACCGAAGTTCTCCTTACCTCCCGCGATCGAGAGACCGGCGCGCTTTACGCAGACCTTGCAGGATCGGAAGATTTCCTGGGCAGTCATGTCTTGCGAGTACCGGCCAACCATGCTGCGACCGCGGGAGGGAAGGATGCGCCAAATATGCGGGAGAACCGAGGGAAGGCAAAACAATATACAACAGTTAATGGAAGGACTGTCGTGATCAAAGATGCTTTTGTTTATAGTAATAAGGGTTGGTAGTGTGTCAATTCACTGGGGGATTAATACTGATACTCCCTACCGCAGGATTTAAGACTTTGAACCAAGCCCAACTCTTATCAGATACTTTATGGTACCCAGATTCGCTCGAACCACGACAATGGCTTGTCTACTACATTTCAAGACCTTTGGTTGGCATATTCGAGGAAATCAAAATCACAACTGCAATGCTAGCCACGAGGCTGCCAGATGGTAGACCGATTATCCCAGCAAGGTCGCCTTCAATGTCTGATTCCGCTTCCATGAACGGGCTTCCTCGTAAGAAGGATATAAAGAGTTTCAGTGACCTTTTGACGAATTTCCCTATGATTGCGAGACAAATGCAACCCGGCCTTGAGGCTCTGTTTAAGGAATTTAATCAAGTATTTGAAAAGCAATTACCTCCCCCGCCATCGGCTGCGAATATTCCAGATCCTGTGCCGGATGGACCCATAGCTACAGCGATGAAGAAAGCACGGTCTAGCAGTTTCTCGACTCCAGGCCAACCAAACGGCCAACCAAACGGGCATGTGCAACGTTATATCGTAGATTTCTATACCGAAGACGATGAGAATGTTATGCGGGGAGCTTTGGAGACCGCAGTCACGTCTGCGATTGATCTTTTCCAAATGGTCGACAAGCAGCAACTCTCCCTTCTTGGAGCTACGACCGATCTTACGGGTCCAATCGTAGAACGTTTAATTGATCGTTATGTTACCGAGCAATTGCATGATACCATCTTGTTTCCAAGACTATGCACAATGAAACGACCCGAGGACTTGGAACTGGAATCAAAGATCAGGCAGATGGAGTTTCTGGATATTTCACAAGTTGGTATACCAATTCAGGGGGGGCATCAAGGAAAACATGAACTCACGTTACGACTTGGTCGTGCTGTCGAAGAATTTCGGAAATTGAATGGAGCAGGAAGCCCTCAGCAGATGATGGATATTCTACTTGTAACATTGAAAGCAGTGACGCAGCTTATTGAAATTCCAACGAGCATAGGGGGGCATACTTCTCCCGAGAAAGTAAGCTCTGTCTTGACTATTAATGCTGATACTCTCGTATCTTTACTACTGGTTGTGGTCATAAGGGCGCAGGTCAGGTATCTCCAGGCTCGTCTCTTATATATGCGTCACTTTATATTCGTCGATGATGTGGAAAGCGGCGAGATGGGATATGCGCTAAGCACGTTTGAAGCTGTCTTATCGTATCTGGCTAGAGATTCAGGAGGTCTGCGGAAAGCTAGTCGGCGAAACCATAAATTATGGGCAGCTACGAAAAAAGGCAACTTAAAGGAGATGATGAAGATTATGGAGCCAGAACGAGAGCTTTCTTCTGACGAAGAAGAATCTGATCACGAGGAAGCCATTGTAGATGATATAATCGATGAGAACAGGCCCTGGAATACTTCGAATGGGCATACCAGGCGACGATCTTCTGGGGTTGCTACCCGACTCTCTCAAGCATCTACTCTTACTCACGTATTTCCTTGGCAGTATTCACATGACGGTGCAGATGAAGAGCGATTACCACCACTGCGGAGACCCAAAACAGTTACTATGGATGTACGAAGTTTATCTAGCAACTCCGAGATGTCTTTCAGATCACGGGCTACCACGATTGACTCGACAAGTAGCGGCATCGAAGGTGATACCTCAATAGAACGATTGTCGCAGACTGAAGATTCATCTGGCGAGTCTGTTCTTATGATGGCCGTTCAGCACGAGAGGCCGGAGTCACTTCAGTATCTTCTGTCGCTACAATACTACTTCCCGCTACGGTCGGTCCTTGAAGATACGAACAATGAAGGAACAACTTTATTGAGTGCTGCTGTGCAGTTGGGGCATACCGAACTTATTAATATAATACTGGATTTTGTTTATCGAGCTTCATCGGAATTGATTGTCATTGGATATCTTTCGAGGCAGGATATCAACGGCAGGAGTGTGGCACATTTTTTATTTAATTATCCGGAGCTGATTTCAAGAGTCGGACGTTTATTGCCTTGGAGGCGGAAAGATAAAAATGGCCAAACGCCACTTTTCGCTTTATGCAGATCATATGACCACGGACGCTACAGACCTATGGTAGAGGCAGCACTTGCCGCTGCTACGACTTCCCAAGGAGATAACCAACCT